ACGAAACAACTGGAAAATGGCGGGGTCAAAAAAATCGTCAAAAAAAAAGTATGAGCTATAGCTCATGGTTTTTACCAACATTGGCTAATTTTTAACCTGGCCGTTTTTCCCAGATTCCGCCACATGGGCCTAATTGAGTATCATCCGATTTATCTTTTTTTAAGCTTAAAACTAGGCTTTAATTGGCATTTATCACCCTGCAGAGGACTCTTGTGATCTGTAAGTGTCATGGAATACGAAACATCTTGAAAATGGCGGGGTCAAAAAGATCGTCCAAGAAAAAAGATCCGATTTATCTTTTATAAGCTTAAAACTAGGCTTTAAACAACTTCATTAAAATATTGCATTCATTAAACAAATACGTGAAAGTCTCAATTGAAGTATATTAATTAAAACACTTTATACTTCCTTAAATTAAATTATTAAAGGAACCCTCTTCGCTACTAAATTTCCAAAAATAGGGGTATCTCATGCCCTGGGATTAACATATAGATCCAGTCATTAATCCAGAAACGACTATGCCAAAAAAAAAAAAAAAACAACACAAAAAAAAAAAAAAAAAAAAAAAAAAAAAAAAACAGTAAGTGCCGTACTTTTTGCATGTACAGAGCTTCCAATTTGCCGCATTGGTATTCTTGTTTTATATTAGCTTTATTTTAATCTGATTAATTAGAGCGTTACAGGGAGTGAAGTTGTTTTAATTGTGAGATGAAAATTATTGATATGAATTGGGAGTGGAGTGGAGGCAACCAACCACCGAGCTACAACCCCACTCCACCTCTACATAATGGACCTTCGCGCTAAGCTAGTCCCTTGCACATTGTTGCTAAGATCCCCAAAACGATAGTGTAGAAAACAAACAACATGCGTTTACAGGACCACTTTACATCTACCCTAGTAGGACAACGTGTGTTTCTGATTGGTCAGATTTTAAGTTCGCTTAACACTCCGGAAATGTCTATTGTTTTAATTAAAATGGCGAATATGCAACCAAGTGCCACACTGAGTTCTCTCATCACAATATTATTATTAGTACAGTAGTAAATATTTATAAACACATAATTTGTTTGCACTGTCTAGTTTAATTACCATCAATATAAGTAGGCCTACAAACTAGACTAAAAAAAATTGTTGTGTTGCCCTTAGATGGAATTATTATAATAATCAAGTGTATATTGAAATAAATCAAACAAAAATAAATCAGTTTAAAGAAAGTATTATTTGGCTTCGTAACGTAAAATAATAATGTGTATCGTAATTTGACAGCTCAGCACGAGAGATCCGATTTGTGATATATATCGTCCTCGCGCTCGGTTCTGTAAATTATGCTTCTATTTTACCGATTTTACGCATGCATCTAGGCCTATGGTCCGATGTTCTAAATGTTAATTTTGACTGCGGTGTTTCTCGAATTTGTACTTCAAAAACATTTCAAAAACAAAAACAAGAAAAAAAAAATGCCGATCCGATTTTTTTGGAAAATTTCGGTCGGTCGCGGAGGGCAACACAACATATTATTTTTTGGCCTTATTGGTGTTTTTCACACACTTTTACAGACTAATATAGTTTTGTACATGTGATACAAACTAAATTTCCTAATATCTAAGAAAAATTACTTATTACTTCATGTGTAAGGTTGTCAACTGTACATAATACATGAAAGTTCAATCCAAAAGAAAAAACCATTTCAAAAATGAATACAGTAATATAAAGCCTAAATTTCACAATCTTTCAAAAATAGCTCTGATGAGATTGAGATTTTAACTTCCTGAAGTACTTTTTGAAGGTACAGTATGAGGAGGCAGTGATGTAATAGGTTCTGAGGGGCCTTGGTTCAAGAGTACATATAAAGATAAATACTATCACTGTTTAAATATGCACTGCTTTATTAAATTTATATAAGGGGGCAGGCGCTTAAAGATTGGGGCCCCTGGAGACCAGGGGCTCTGGTTCAATGAACCGCCTGAACCTGCGGTAGTTACGCCATTGTGCAGTGATAAATAGAACGTGATTTGTGAAGTAGCAAATTCTAATTCCCGAAAGTGTTGGATAATACAACTACCTCCCGACACTAATTATACCGAGACTCAGACTCACTTTATTGCATCTTTTTACGGAAATTTGTTGCTTGTATACATATTAAAACTATCAAAATTGCTTAAAATATAAACCAAGACCAAAAATTATTTATGCTTACAAATTTTATTTAATAGCCTTAAAAGTAAGTTTTGAGTGGCATTTTTAAGCAGAGATAGTATATGGAACACAAAACAATCAGAAAAAGGCAGGGTAAAAAAATCGCCAAATTGTGACAGAACTTTTCACCTTGAGGCTGATTTGTACATTATGATGGTTCATATGAAAATACTGGTTATGTTTAAATTAACATTGTTTTATCATCATTTTCATAGCGTCAAAATGTTGTCAATTATGACAGAATTAAGTCTATGCCTAATGAATAAATTAAATTATGTAGGTTTTAAGTGTCCATGACTTTCTTTTCCAAATTCACCCACATATCCATAGGTGCCATTCCCTTTCAAAAGACAAGCACACAGAAAATATGCTCTACATAAACTTAATCTCACTATATTGAGTGTTGAGGAGTGGAGTTGATTTATCTGACGTAATATTGACAGAAAATTAAGCATGGCATTGAAAGGTAAGCTGCAATTTCACTCCATCTATATTCACATAATTCAATACAATAATGACATTCATCCTAAAAGCTATCAGTTTCTCTCTAGTTCTCATGGCATCACAATATATAGAAAAAATGTATATTTCAACCACAATAAGTACTGTACAGCACATTATTTTTGGCATTGTCTAGTTCAATGACCTTATTCTATAATATTTACAAACCCATTTTATTATGTACTTCACACACTTTTAAAGACTAATGAAAATATAGCATGTACATGTATACAAACTTGATTCAACTAACTTTACTTAACATCCATAAGCAGATATTACTTATGTGTATGATTGATAACTGTACATAACAAAAATGAAGATTAAAAAAACCAAAAAATACATTTTGTAAATGAATACTACAACTTCCTTTTTTGAGCAAAATTAAGACAAAAAGTAAGACCTCTAAAAACTACTGATAGTTTTACAGTAGGTAATTTTGTATAGGCCAAATGCTCAAATCCCTCAGATTGTAAGCTATAAAACTGTGGTAAAAGAAGGTACAGACACTGTATAGCTATGATTTTAAGCTATAAAACTACAGAAAGTATGAACACTGTTCTTTCAGATTTTAAGCTATAAAACTACTGTATGACCACCAAAACAAGCAATTTGAAAATGATTTTATATTCCCAACATGTCTACCAGTTTTAAATTTTTCTTCTGTTTTGCTTTTGAAAGAAAAAAATAACAGAAATGTAATCAAAAGAAGTAGTGTCATGGTATTTCCCCATCCGAAATAAACAATGTCGACAACTGGAGAAACACACCAAAAGTACTTTTTTTACACCTAATACCTAGGGATAGCGACAGGATTTGTGTGACAGGGGTCCGATGTCTCTGACAGACATCACGATGTGCCTAGCGAAAGTGAATTGGGCGTAGTCAACTGTCTCTCAAAATCTTCCTAAAGTAGTCCAGGGGGCAAAGCCCTCGAGAAATATGACAACTTTGGGGTTTCAAAGGCTTAATCAATTTTAGAGTCTACTATTGTGCCAGACTCTATAGTAAAGCCTGTGCGGGGAATATATATCCTGCAAGCAAACATTTGGCCTAGAAATCCATCCACACATTTCGGAAAATAATGGCCAAATTCCTATTTTGTTGAAAATTAGACTTTGACCAAATAAATTATTGCGACTCTGCGCACCTATTTTCCTAGTGGTTTTCCGCGTAAATTTGAGCTGGTTTTGGAGGTATCCTCTGCGAAAATAAAAATACTTTACACTATGGGTAATAATGTAGAAAATATATATACATTTTTTTTCTCTCCGACGGATGGTGATTTTTTCCCCGGCAGGGCCTTTCCACCCCTCCCAAACCCCCCTGCTGGCGCCACTTCTGCTAATACCCCACATCATCTGTTTACTTTAACTACAGGTAATTACACAGTATACAGTTTTCTAAACAAATTACTAAGCCTTAAAGCATGTGACTTCTATTACCAACACTAATTTTTCTGGTTGAAAACGATAATACAGACTCCTCTAACTGTGTGTTTTGATGCTGCAACACTAAAATGTTGCACTCGGAGTACTACTGACTTAGTGGGAGAGAGGTTGAATTCATCTACCGAATTGATAAGATCGCCGTCTAAGTGGAGCTGTAACCAATTCATCGTCACTCTCATTGTCACTATCAAGTAGACCATATGGATTTTCTTTTCTGACTGATTTTTTTGACGTTTTTCCTTAAATAAGAGATAAATTGGTTTTCATTAATTAAAATTAATTGCCTACAATAAAAAAAAAAAACAAACATTGAGATATGACATGATTTTAATCAATTTTTTTAGAGAGCCACTATCAAAATGTTAGTCACCAATTGTTCATTGTGGTTGGTCCATGTTTTCACTTCTGATTTTATATTATATACGTCGAGTCGATTTGCCGAGCAGTTAAGGCAGGGGTGCCGCAACCTACACCCACAATATTGGCGCTGGTTCTGGTGGTAGCACAACTCGTCACGGATAAGCCTATAAACTGTAGGCCCAGTGTACTATAAGAACTATAACTTTAAGCCCAGTGTGCTCAATGGCTTATGTGCACTAATAAAGTCATTGATAGAGCTACTAGTCCACATATCAAGTGCCATGTGCACCTTGTTTGATGGATACTGGTGCTATACAAATCTACAATATTATTATTATTATCAATAAATACTGTACATCAATTTTCACTCTGTAATTATAAAATTGAAATGTCAATATCTATAAAACTACACATTAAAATATTTGTGAAATTTTGAATTTAAATCATGAAACACTTGAGCAGTGACAAAGTACACCCCAATTAATCAGCCAATGCAGTATTTCTTCAGGTATTTTGCCTACAGATTATTAATCCAGTTGAAAAAACTTTACTTTATTATAGGTGGTTTTGCAGCCACTCCGCATGGCGTTTGAGGCGGTGTGATGGGCGCCATAATGAACTTTAATCCGAATATTGAGAGGGAGGCCATTATTCAACTTCATTGGGTCGTCTTCAGAAATGAGAAAAAATTTTGACAGCAAAAAATGCTAAACTACAAACTGTCAAATAGATGTTGAAATGTATTAGTTCATTTTAATACAGTAGTTGAAAGTTGATTGCTTTTTGGAGATCCTTGGTTTGTGAATTGTTTCCCTAATGAAATTAAGTGCATAAAATACTGGTAACATACCACTGTTTGTAGTCTAACTAATGAAATTAAGTGCAGAAATTATGGTAAAATACAATTGTTTGTATAGTCTACCTAATGAAATTAAGTGCATAAAATACTGGTAACATACCATGGTTTGTAGTCTACACAATGAAATTAAGTGCATAAAATACTGGTAACATACCATTGTTTGTATTCTTGCTTGTCACCAAGACATCACTCTCGTCAGAATCTTCCAGATATTCACGAGCAATTTGTTTCTTTGCTATTAAAAAGGTTTAAAATGAAATGTATATCATTACTGAATGAAATGTATAACATTACTGAATGAAATGTATAACATTACTGAATGAAATATTTAACATTCATTACTGAATGAAGCATGAAAATTAGATTGAAAAACATACTTCGGCTAACAACTAATTCATGATGAAATGCAGGGACCTTAAATACACCTTACCAACTGAAGCGTGCAAATCAAATTGATCAAGTGCTTTCAAATATTAAAAAGCAACAACATGACAATGGAAATCAACGTGCTTATCATGCATTTCCAGAATTTGAGACATCGTGAGAATACAGCACAAGTCCCTCGCAACGTGTGGGAGATCCCTGTCTCCCAAACTCCCGCTGGCAAGCAAGAATCTCCCAAACAATAACCATCTACAAATTCATAATTTTTGCATGATTTTACTATTTTATTTTATTATCAATTGTGTCATGGAAGTCAGTGCCGATGTGTATCACAATGCAGAGCAAAATAAAATTATTTGTGTTAAAAGCCCATTCAACCAGACCACCTGGAACTTTGGACCACCTGGAACTTTGGACCACCAAGAACTTGGGACCACCTGGAACTTTGGACCACCTGGAACTTGGGAACCTTGGTACAGTTAACTTAATATGAATGTGGATAATTGAAGGGGGGGGGGGGTTGGTATGTTTCCCACATATTTTTAAGAGGGTTGGTCCTCCATTTTTCGACCGCAATGTAATTTCAGGGCCTTAAACATTAAATGCCTCTGTTGGTTTTTGCTGAAAAGGTTAAAATAAATAAATACAAAAATTGAAATAAAATTCATTTAAATATTAATATAATAGACTTGGAATAACTAAGACAAATAAAAAAATACAAGAAATTGGATAAATGGTTGCACTTACATTTAACTTGCTTCTTGCTGGAATTACTTTTATTACTTCTTACTGATCGTTTTGACGAAACAGATTCTGCATCAGATATCTCTGAGTTTCTAGGAAATTATAGCAAAGTGACAAATGAGAAACAGTTTAAAAAATCATGTACAGTACTGTACCATTCTGGAGTTTCAATCAAATTTAACAACTGACCAATCAGAAAAGGGCAAAGAATATGTGCATGTCTAACAAGCACACGTTTTCCACAAACGCACATAACAATATCCAAAGGATGTCCATTTTACATCTAGCGAAAATGTCCATTGTACATCTAGCATTTTGCTAGGGGTTATGTGACAATTTGATATTGTTCTTATTATAAGAAAAATTGAATGCAAATAGTACAAAATGAATGGTAGTCCACCTAGTACTGTAGCTGTTGAGTTGCTTCTGTCTTCCCCAATGCCCTCTTGCTGCTGACTGTATCGTCGTGGCAACATCCTCCATATCGCTCTCCTCCTCATCACTGTTGCTGTCTTTATATTTATTCACTGGACTTGGCGTGTAACGGTTCATCTGCTGTAGATGATGCTTACGATTTTCGTGTCCTCTAAAAGCAGACTGTATTGTCACAGTTGCCTGATGGGAAAAGAAAGAGTGGCAGTTATGCTTGGAAATATAAAGATTATCTTGCAAAATTAACTGTGGTTTTGTTTCTGTAAACCATAGTAGGTTTAACAATAAGTAAGAAAAAAATAAACCCCAATGTGTCCACATTGGCACATATCCTTGTTGATAGATTGATTAATCATTATTATTGTTATTTCTATTATTAGTTCATATCAATAATTTATGCAGTAGAAACCATTAAAGTTAACACTGCAGATATATATAATTATATTTTTATACATTTAGTAAATATTAATCATCATATTCATCTCTCTGGCATTTAGATGGTAGCCTGGTAGGACTGACTTAAACTTGAACTTTTCTCCCTTCCCCCTGTTATTTAAAGATTTAAGAATCAGTCCAGTTGCCACCCATCCCTCCCTTGAATCCACCCCTGCGTGTATACAAATGAGGTATAGGTAAGCCATATTATTAGTCAACTTACAGCATCCAATTCCTCTTCTTCTTTCTGTGTAAGTAAAAAAAAAAGAAAACATAAATTTATCCATCATCTTGTATGGTAATTACATCTACTAATGAATTTAACCTTCACTGTAAAAATTGCACTATTATTAAAGTAAAGAAATAATATTTTATTTAAATATGCTTGTATTACCACAATGGATACATAACAACTCTCTTTACTCAACTTTAGGAGAGAGCAAAGGATGTGCCAAAAAGTGACACAAAGATGCTTATATTTAATAGGATGTCTCATTATGAGGTTTAAAGAGTGAAGCAGTTTTTGGTTTTAATTGAATCTGGGATTGGAAGGCAAATATATTACCCAGCAACCTTTTAAACTCCACTCTCTAGTTAATACCTACAGTACTCACAATATATACAGCCCCCCCACCCCAAACACCCTGCAAGCAAATGCATTAGATTCCATCTTTGGAAGGAATCAACAATACCCTCATTCATTCCATCTTGTCAGCATTGCTAAAATCATGATCACAAGAAACCACTTTCTGTGTGTTAGAATCATAGCCTTAAGGTAGGTATATCATTTATTTATGCAATAATCTGCAGTGCTTTAAATGCATCTAAAAAAAAAAACACCATGAGCCATGTTGCAAATTGACATTAAACAGCAAAACAATACTACTACTAGTACTAGTGAGCTG